CAATACAAAGGCACCCACATTCCTAAAAGAAATGCTACTAAAGCTCAAAGCTCATATAAAACTTCACACATTCATCGTGGGAGACTTCAACACCCCACCCTCACCACTAGACAGGGCCACCGGAGAGAAACTTAACAAACAAAAGAACTAACAGAAGTTATATCCCAATTAGGGTTAATTGACATCTATAGAACATTCTATACAAACACAAAAGGATATACATTCTTCTCAGCTCCACATGAACCTTCTCTAAAATCAAAAACATACTAGGCAACATAACACACACACACACACACACACACACACACACACACACACACAAAGAAATAACCCTCTGTATCCTATCAGACCACTATGCTTTAAAGTTGAAATTTAACAACACAAATTGCAAAAGCCCTACAAACTCATGGAAACTGAACAATGCACAATGGCACCATTCCTGGGTCAAAGAAGAAAAAAAGAAAGAAATAAAATTTTCCTAGAATTCAACATGAATGAAAACACAACATACCGTAAATTATAGGACATGTTGAAAGCAAAACTACAAGGAAGTTCATTGCACTAAGCACCCAAATGAAGAAAATGGAGGATATTCAAGTTAGAGAATTAACAGCACAATTAAAATCCCTAGAACAAAAATAAGCAAACTCACCCTGGAGTAGACACCAGGAAATAATCAATTTGAAGGCTGAAATCAATAAAGTAGAAACTAGGAAAACAATACAAAGAGTCATTGTAGCACAGAGTTGTTTTTCAAGAAAATCAACAAGATAGACAAACCTTTATTCAAACCAACTAAAAATCAGAAAGAGAACATGCAAATCAACAAAAACAGAAATGAAAAGGAGGACATAACAATAGACACTGCGGAAATCCAGACAATTTTCCGGTCATACTTTGAAAACCTGTACTCTACAACATTCAAAAGTTCAAAGGAAATGGACAAACTTCTGGATGGCTATCACTTACCAAAATTGAATCAAGAATAGATAAGCAACTTAAATAGACCTATAACCCCTAAAGAAATAGAAGCAGTCAACAAAATCCTCCCAACCAAAAAAAGCCAAGTGCCAGATGGCTTTAGTGCAGAATTCTACAAGAAATTCAAAGAAGAGCTAATACCAATATTCCTCAAATTGTTTCACACAACAGAAACAGAAGGTTCATTACCAAACTCTTTACAGGCTAAAATTACCTTGATACCCAAGCCACACAAAGACACAACTAAGAAAGAGAACTACGGACCAACATCCCTCATGAACATTGATACAAAAATATTCAATAAAATACTGGCAAATCAAACCCAAGAAAAAGTCAGAGAAATCATCCACCATGACTAAGTAGGCTTCCTCCCAGGGATGCTGGGATGGTGAAAAAAAAATCTATGAATGTGATCTAACATATAAACAAACTGAAAAAGAAAACTCATATGATCATCTCATTAGATGCTGAAAGAGCCGTTGACAAAATCCAACACCCTTACATGATAATGGTCTTGGGGAGATCAGGAATAACAAGAACATACCTAAGCATAATAAAAGCAATATACAGTAAACCAACAGTCAACATCAAACTAAATGGAGAAGATTAGGGTGATTCCTCTAAAATCAGAAACAGGAAAAGGCTGCCCACTCTCTCCATATTTCTTCAGTATTGAACTTGAAGTTCTAGCTACAGCAATAACACAACAAAAGGAGATCAAGGGGAAACAAATTGGAAAGGAAGATGTCAAACTTTCACTATTTGCAGATGACATGAGAGTTTACATAAGTGACCTGAAAAACTCTAATAGGGAACTCCAACATCTGAGAAACACCTTCAGCAAATTGGCAGGATACAAGATTAACTGAAAAAAAAATCAGTATCTCCACTATAGACAGATGATAAAGGGGCTGACAAAGGAATTAGAGAAATAGCACCCTTTAAAATAGCCAGAACAATATAGAATATCTTGGGGTAATGCTAACAAAGAAAGTGAAAAACCTATATAGCAAGAACTTTGTGTCTTTATAGAAAGGAATTAATGAAAATACCAGAAAATGAAAAGATCTCCCATGCTATTGGATAGGTAGCATAAACATAGTAAAAACGGCAATCTTGCCAAAAGCAATCTATTGATTCAATGCAAGCCCCCTCAAAATTCCAGCACAATTCTTCCCTGACCTTCAAAGGATAATACTCAACTTTACATGGAAAAAAAAAAAGGCCCAGGATAGCCAAAACAACCGTGTACAATAAGGAACTTCAGGAGGCATCACCATCCCCAACTTCAAGCTCTACTATAGACCTATAGTCCTGAAAACAGCTTGGTACTGGAACAAAAATAGACAGATAGACCAATGGAACCAAATAGAAATTCCTGATATTAACCCACACCCCTATGAACACATGATTTTTTTGACAAAACTGCTAAAAGTGTACAATGGAAGAAGGAAATCATCTTCAACGAATGGTGCAGACAAAACTGGTTGATGGTGTGTAGAAGAATGCAGATAGACCTGTGCCTATCACCACGCACAAAACTCATGTCCAAACGGATCAAAGACCTCAACATAAATCAAGCCACACTGAACCTCTTAAAAGAGAAAGTAGTAGGTACCCTTGAGCAAATTGGTACAGGAGACTGCTTCCTGAACATAACAACAGTAGCACAGACACTGAGATGACAATAAATGGGACCTTCTCAAACTGAGAAACTTCTGTAAGGCAAAGGACACAGGTGACAAGACCAAATGGCAGGCCACAGACTGGGAAAAGATCTTCACCAATCCTACATCTGACAAAGGGCTGCTCTCCACAATATACAAAGAACTCAAGAAACTAGTCAACAAAACACCAAATCACCCTATTAAAAATTAGGGTATGGAATTCAATAGAGAATTCTCAAGGGAGAAATCCAAAATGGCTGAAAGGCACTTAAGAAAGCATTCAACATTCTTAGCCTTCAGGGAAATGCAAATCAAACAACTCTGAGATACCATTTTACTCCTATAAGAATGGCTAAAATCAAAAAAAAAAAAAAAAAAAAAAAAAAAAAAAAAAAAAAACAATGAGAGCTCATGCTGGAGAGTATGTGGTGAAAGGGGAACACTCCTCCACTGCTGATGGGAGTACAAACTTGTAGAACCATTTTGGAGTTCAGTATGGTGGTTCCTCAGGAAAATGGGAATCAGTCTACCACATGACCCGGGAATCCCACTCTTAGGCATATACCCAAATAATCCACATCTATGCAACAAAGACATCTGTTAAGCTATGCTCTTAGCAGCATTATTTGTAATAGGAAGAACCTGGAAATAACCTAGATGCCCCCCAACTGAAGAACGGAAATAAGGATAAAGAAGATGTGGCATATTTACAAAATGGAAAACTACTCAGTGGAGGAGGGGGGTGAGGAAACAATGGAATCTTGAAATTCACCGGCAAATGAATAGAACTTGAAGAAACCATCCTGAGTGAGGTAACCCAGTCACAAAAGAGGAACATGGTATGTACTCACTCATATATGGATTTTAGACATAGAGTAAAGGATCGCCAGCCTATAATACACACCATCAGAAAAACTAGGATACAAAGAGGAATTAAGAGATTCATGCAAGGTCCCTCACAGAAGGGGAAATGGTTAAGATCTCCTGAGCATATTGGGAACAGGGTTGGGGTAGTAAGTAGAGAGGGAGTTTGGAGAAAGAGAAGGGGAGGAGAGTAGAACATGTGGAACTAGGAAGATTGAGTCTGGGGATGAATAGACGAGACGAGAACAAAAAAAGAGATACCATATTGGTGGGAGACATAGGTTTGAAGAGAAAACTGAATTTAGAGAAATGTCCAGAGACCTACAATGATGACTCTATCTAACAACCTGAGCAATGATGGAGAGGCTACCTTAAATGCCCTTCTCTGATAATGAGATTGATAACTAACTTATATGCCATCTTAGAACCTTCATGTAGTAAGCTGTTGGAAACAGAAGATACCCACAGTTAAACACTGAGCCAAATTCCTGGAATCCAGTAGCAAAGAGGGAGGAATGATAAGAAAAGGGGTCAAGATCAGTCTACAGAAACCCACAGATACAGCTGACATGAACAAGGGGGAGCCTATGGACCCCCCCCCCAGACTGATAGCTGAGAAACCAGCATTGGACTGACTCAGACCCCTTCTTTGTACATGGGTCTCAGTCAGGTGGCCTGGACAATCTAAGGAACCTCTGACAGTGGAACCAGGATGTATCCCTGGTGTATGAAAGGACTTTGGGAGCATATTCCCCATGGATGGATACTCCCCTGACCCCTGACTCCCCTCCCCAAGAGGGAGGGCCTAGGCCAAATAACTTGACAGATTTTGATGATCTCTCCTGGAAGGCTTCAGTCTTCCTGTAGAGTGGGTGGTGAATGGAGTGGGAGGGGGCTTGGGGGGCATAGGAGGATGGGACAGAGAAGGAACTGGGATTGATATGTAAAATAAGAAAGAATAATAGGAGAGAAGTCCTAGTCCCTACTTCAAATGACTTGACAGATTTACATGACCCCACTTGGATGGCATAGCCCTCCATGTGGAATATGGGTGGGAGGATGGGTGAGGAGGGTGGTCAGGGTGCATGTGACTGGGGGGGGGAATAAGAGAGAGGGAGGGAAGAAAGGAGAGAGGGAGAAGGAATGGAATCGACATGTAAAATTAAAAAAATAATAAAATTAAATTAAAAAAGAAAAATAAAAAACAAAATAAGTAAAAACTAAAGCTAAATAAGTAAATGTTAAAGAAAACATGCACCAGTTTTCAGATAAAAGGTGAAAGTTATTATTTCAACATTCATTTAATGTTAACATTTTTTATGTGAATCTATCACAATAATGTCTGATTTTTGTAAAATTGCACTGGTATCTCCCAGTACGTTGGAGAATATGCACCTAAGGCAGCATCTATCAGTCCATACAGTTAGTGTCTCAAGTCCTGAAGTTCCAAGAGAACTTCATCACAAACCTGGTATCCCAACCACTCACCAATAAAAGAATGTCAGGCTTTCCCACCAGAGCCAGGGCAGTGGAGAGCTTCCGTCTGGTTCCTCCACTGTAGGTGGCCACAGGTTTGTTCACATGAGGTTCAAAGTGAAGGCGTTTTACCAGGTCTGCAGCCACCTGAAAGAGAAAATCTGTCCATGAACCTTTGTCCATGATGTCTACATGAGCTAGGTTACCTCCCGTCTCCTCCCACCATGCTGGTGTCCTCTGACACAGGGGCCAAACACTTCCCCATCCCATTTCACTTTATGAGAAAGAGCAATGGGGAAAGATCAAGGGAAAGAGGGTCCCATGTCTGTGGACACTTAGAATGGCCAAACACAGGTCTGCAGACCAGAGGACTCTGAATCAATGCTGACTCTTGATGATTATACACATTCAGATGAATAAAGGGGGCCCAGAAGAAGGCTGAGAAGGTGCTGGAAAACAAAGAGAGAGGGGGGAGAAGAGGAAGAAAAAAAGAGAAAACAAGGTACCAAAACATCAAGAGAAATGACACTGAATAAGGAATATAGACCATTGATAGCATCTATACATTTAGAGTTTGGTTTATTCAGTATTCAGGCTGAGGAAAGATGGGGCCAGTATCTTCTTCATAGCTGCTGGAAACTATCTGATCATTTCATGAGGGTGTGACTTCATTCAGCAGATTCTACATACATCCTCAACCACCATAGTTAGCTTTAATGCCCTCAAGCTCAGGCTCGCAGCCTCTCTTCTCTCCACCATTCTACTCTGTCTTACCACACATCCTGGGAGCTCACTTACCCTTAAATTTTAATACATTTAATTAAATTTTAATCTCCATCCTCCCTGATGTGCTCCAGCTGATCTTCCCCAGCATAATTTCCCTAAAATACTTCTTACCTGCTTCCAATTCTGTCTCTTAAGTGACACCCAAGCTAAGCATTTTGTTTGTTTCCAACTGTCTATACAATTTTTAAAGATGCACACTTCATATAATTCTTGTGCAGATAAAAATATACTTTAATGAATGTATTAATGCAGATATAAATTTGTTTTTCAGATATGGTCACATCACCAAACTAGTGAAAATCATATCTTAGTTCTCATTTAGAATGATAAATTGTATAGGATTGTGAGAGTTGATAACTTTATATTTAAAAGCACTAAATAAAACAGTGTTCAGCTAATGTGTATACTTTTGTACACACATATAAAACAGGGTTATAAGAATATGATGATCATAATATATACAAAAAACTTTGTATAATAATATCTTTAACTTAAATTATTCAGTCTGTATTTATACGGCTTCAAAGTAATTTAGACAATGAGCTGAAAGACACAAGTGTCGGTCCATGCTCAGACAGTGTGAGCCAAGGAAATAGAAGTCAATGCCCAGAGGCAAATACAGATTAAATCTTGAGTCTCCATAGTCTCTAAGAAAGCCATCTCAAGGTCAATCCTTTGTTCTCAATGAAAATATCCAAGCTATTTTATTCAGACTGTCTCATGGGGGAACTTCCCTTCCCCTGTATTCATTTGGTCAAATTATTCCAATTAAAATGAATTGAATAAAAGCCTTCTTAAGCAAATAAAAACTTCAAAATATTTGAACCAGGATTAGTAAACAAGCTCAAATAAGTAATTGGGAGGGACCCTGCAGTAAAAAAGGCTGAGACAGACAGACTGTGCTGTGCATCTTAGCAACAACCAATGGTATCCACAGAGTCACAAAGCTGAAGTGTAGTCCTTCCTGGATGATGTTCACAGGGAAGATGGAGGGAGGGAGCAGGATGCCTAGGTGAAGCCTTTGCTTCAGGGCCAGCAGTACTTTGGCAACTCAGATAGTCCATGCCTTTTGAAAAATACAGACCCAAAGAGCTGTGAGGCCAGCACAAGCAAACAAAAACAGCAGAAGTGAAAAATTGGGTTATCGTTTCAGAGTTATGAAAAAATTATTAATGAACGTGTGCACATTTATTGTGATTTACTGTATCTTATTCAGTAGAGGAATGGAAAGAGGCTAATAAAGGGGAAAACAAAGCAAAACAATGATGAAAAGCCCTGATTTTTATAGCAACACACCTCAGAGTAAATGCATTCTTAATAAATTTAAAAATGCTGTTGATTATTTTTATGAAACCAGAGAATGTTTGTCACATTTTCCTAATTTCACAAAAGGTTAAATAGTGCAGACTACTAATCCCAGAGCAGTTAATCATAAGGAAGATTCCAGAACATGTAGGAACAAATGTTTGATCTAATGCTCTGTGAATGTCACTTTCAGAAAATAACTGAAAATGATCTAATAGGGAAGCATTCTGTTGCTGTCTTTGCTGTACTCAGTGCCACTATCAAAATAATGGCAAATGTAATGACCTGGAAATCAAGGCTGGCAAAATTTTACCTACATCCCAAGATGTCATTAGCCACAAAATCTTCACTGTTATTGACCCATAATAACAAAATGTCATACAGGATCTTACACATGCTTTTCTCATAGAAACCTCTAGAAAGCATGTCACATTTAGAGCAGAAGACTGGCATTTATTATTTTTTATAGCCCAGGCTGAAACACATTAAACCCAATAGAACTTTGGAAAATATCCTGTAGCCAAAATAGATTGTTCAGAAAAGCATGCACTCAACAGATTCCTGAGCCCAAAATTACCCATGTACAGGTGTGGTGATCATATCAAAACTATTCTGTGAAATTCAAGATGAAAATGAGATATTGAGCTGAAAAAACAAGTCAGGGATTTCCAAGGGAAAGGCCATCATGTGACCTTTCCTCTGCCAGTAACTTCCTAGTTGATTCTTCTTCACACAAAACAGCTTTCTTCAAAACCCACAATGAATGGGAAAAAGAAATTTAAGATGTAAGTAATGTCTACAGAGATGATGCTGAAAGCAATACTCAGAAATATTCTTAAGGCTGGAGAGATATCTCAGAGGTTAAGAGAGCTAGCTGCTTATCCAGAGGTCCTGGGTTCAATTCCCAACAACCACATGGTGGCTCACAACCATGTATAGTGGGATCTGATGTCTTCGTCTAGCATAAAGTTGTGCCAGCAGATAGAACACTCTTACATAAAATAAATCTTTTTAAGAAGGAGGGAGGGAGAAAGGAAGGAAGCCAGCCATGGGGCTGGAGAGATGGCTTAGCAGGTTAAGAGAACTGGTTGCTCTTCCAGAGGCAGCTTACACCCATTTATGGGTGGGAAACAATGCCCTGTCCTGGCATAAAGTCACACATGCAGACAAAGCAAATTGGTTTTTTTTTTAAGATGTATTCTGAGACCAAAAAGGTACCTATTCCTATCATAGATAAGATCAAAATGCAGCTTTCACCAGGTTTCATCCCACTCAGAATTTTTGTTTGAATATATTAACTCAGGATGTTAGAAAATTCTCTTACACCCCTCCTCTGGCCGCTCAGATTATAAGCGCATTCTGGCTCAGATTATAAGTCATTTGGCTCTGATGTGATACTAAGTGTTTCACCAATCTGGTCAGCTGAATATAAGCTTAAAGTGCACCCTCTGCATACACTGTACAGTGTGACCACCAACCAGAAGAACATAAATTCAAGTCCAAGGAAGGGGTAACTTTTTCTTGCCTAAGTAAACATTTGAGGGTTGCAAGTGTAAAGGACAAAATTATAGATAGAACAGATCAGCGAACTTGAAATTGATGGATTGAGTGCCCTAAAGTAGAGGCAGAACTCAGTACAAGGTTCGAGTTGGAGGGCAGGAGTAGAAAAGGGGGGGGGGGAGACTGTGAGAGTAAGGCAGAAAAGACTTCAGCAATCATAGGAGGCCTTCTTGAATCAAAGGACACATTGACTGACTATCTATATGTCCATAGACAAGAGGGAAACCTGGGGAAGAAAACTTATTTGAGTGGCAGATATGTTAGGGAGTAAAAATGCCTCTTTTGTATCTATGGCTCAAAGCTGATGGCAGAAGTTTATTAACACCACCTCAGTCACACAAGTGATGTGTCATGATACAATGTTAAGGTGGCTATGGTTGCTATCGGGATTTTTCATGACAATTTTGTAACCTCGCCATGATTGGATCCATGGTGTACTAAACATTAAGAAATGGCTCATGGCTGCATTTACTAGATCATCATTTTGTGTTACTTAACACTAATATCCTGTAATAAGTAACTCAGAATCCTATGTTTATTCTATATTTCAAATGCTTACACAATTTACAGAAGTGAGAAATTGGCTAGGAAAGGCACTGTGTCCTTTAGGAATATGTAGAAAATGTGATGATCTATTAGAAATTGCTGAATGAGCAAGTAGCAATACCATCTGCATAATGCACTGCAGCTTCATGAAAGAAATAAAGCTAGTTCCTAATTGGTGAGCATTATAGAACTTCTCAGTGGAGGAGTTAAGAATACAGACTGAAGGACAGTGGACTATCAGAAGGCAATGGCCTGGGTGATAGAAAGCACCAAGTCTTATTAAGGGAGACTTCGTAGGTGCATTCACCCAGACAGAAGGGGCAAGCTTATAGCCACTGCCAAGAATCTACCTCTTCAATCAAAAACTAACAAGAGGGAGCTGACAGAGAAAATGCCTATTAAAGACAGAGCCAGATATTAGGACTGAATGCTAAGAGTTGTTCAACTTCACTTGGTAGAGCTCCTACAGGGTGGTCAGTTAATTTTGTTTAGAAAGATGGGAGGTAGGTCAAGGGTCCTGGGTCTGAACATTGAAGTGGAGAGCTTCTATGCTGGTTTTGGAGCAGTTATGAGTTATAGACCAGAAGAAAAAAAAAAGAAAAAAGAAAGAAAGACTACGGCATTACAAAAACAACATAGAGAATGAATTATCATAGACCAGTAAGGGCAGTAGCTATTATCTTCATCACCTGTGAATCCTAGGATGTTCCAAATCCTATAGTCTCTGACTGATGATATGCCAATAAGCTCTACCCCATTTTATCCTGCTTTTTCAGAACCAGAAAGCCCTCCAGCACTTCACATACTACAAAGAGGTGTACAAAGGGTAAAATGTGCCTTGAGAAGCTTCCATTTTGATGCATTTTTATTTTGAATGTCCTCTGAACTATGTGCCAATGCTATTAGCTCTGATCTGACCATTGTTTGTATCAAAAGAAGAGACAAGTCTCCTCTGTCCACTGTTTCACCTGCTTTCCATTACTCTCAGGCATGATGCAAGGATGCCTGAGAGTTCTTGTAGTTCTAGATGCTCCTTCATTCTCCTGAGACCACCCAGAAAGGAACTCTTCACAGGAAATTTTCTGGCTGCTCTCAAGGGAGCTATCCACTTCAATAACTCCCAAATTACACAAGCACTCTGGATTCAGCTTTGCACTATTTGTTTCTGACCTCAAATTCATAGGCTAAGAAATATAAAAACAGTTATAGAAAACAGAAAAAAGCTTAGATATACAAAGCAACAGAGGATATTATTTCTTGCTTATCTCCTTGCATAGAACTCTCACTGACACATTTTTTAAATATACAATATCAGTACAAATTTTAATGCTGAAAAATTACTTCCTCGAACTCATCTGGTGATATGACTTCCTGTCTTACCGTGGGTCAGAAACAGCTTTGAAGCCATAGCTGATGGACCAGCATCTCTCAGTGGATTCTTTTCCTCTGGAAAATGCCAAGATTGCTTACCTCTGGAATGTACTGCTTTGGAATCCCACGGAGGCTGCAGTAGTATTGGAGATGTTCCCAGCCAGTCAGGAGCTCATCCAGAGCATCCTGCTGTGGACAGTAGCCGAAGAGAATGCCCACTTTGCCAGCAGAAGTCAGGTCCACCATATCTCTGCACACACAAGTAGAACAGGCTGACAAAAGGCTTCATGAATTCTTATCAACACATCCCTTAAATCTAACTCATTAATCTTAATAGCTCTACATTTCCTAGCTAACAATTTTGCACAAATACTTTCATCTGATGACAAATGAGGTGTATCAGAAAATACAACACCAACATATGTATCCTGGTACATGGACTTTTCAGCTAGACTTCACTTACTTAAACCAGCAACCTCTGAGAAAGCTGTTTAATGTCTCCAGCTCCCTGATAAACTTCCCCTTTGTAAAGGACATGCCAGCTTGCAAATTCATCTCTGCACTTGCTACTTACAAGGACTTCTCTGGTCACCTAGAAGCACAAGGAGAGGGGACTACTTTACCAGACACTTTCCTCCTCAGAAAGCATCTTCCAAAAGCTCCAAACCCCTTTCCATTTGATAATACCTGTGTATAAGCCTCTTTCTTCTAACCCATCAGTTGATCCCCCCTCTCTCCTGCCCTTCTGTCTGAAAGAAAACGGTCCCTAAAACAAGGGGCACTAATAAGAGGTATGGTCTTGTTGGAGGAAGAGTGTTATAGTGGGGGTGGGCTGTGAGGTCTCTTCGGCTGAAGTTTTGCTCAGTGTAACCCTCAGACCATTTCTTACTGCCTTCAAGACATAGGAATCTCAGTTACTTCACCAGTTCCATGCCTGTAACTTGCCTTATGACTAAACCTCTGAAACTGTAAGCCACCCCAACTAAATGTTTTCCTTATAAGTGTTGTCATAGTCATGGTGTCTCTCCACAGCAATAGAAACCCTAACTAAGACATCTTCCTTCCATCTTTCTTTTTTCTATCTGTTTCTTTTTCTATATTTTTCTCTCTCTACATCTAATTACATATAATAAATAATTTTTTGTAAAACTCTTGCTTGTATATATGCGATTAAATATGCCCTTGTTAGTTTAATTTCCAGGGCCCTAGCAAATAACCTAAGATGGTTGAATGCAAAACTGCTTCTTTCCTCCCAGTAACAACCCATGAGCCAAGCACACACCTGGGTTTAATGTGTGTGTGTGTGAGAGCATATGTGTGTACATATATATGTATGTATATATGCATGTGTGTGTGTGTGGGTGTGTGTGTGTGGCACTGAGCTTCATATTTAGCACATGATACATTCTAAATATATGGCTACCATGGTAATATTTGATATATTCTAAATATATGGCTACCATGGTAATATTTCCCCAAAGAAACTACTGTAAATAATTGATTATCGATCCCTAAAATTTTAGTTGAAGATTTTATATTTCAATTATAACAATTGTATACAAAATTCACTGAATATATAAAAAGTAGAAAGGGTCAGTGGGCCCAACTGCAAAGGTCATCACCAGCTTCCACCACATCTCACTGTCTTCCTTCTCACAGTGCTGCCTTTCAGATCAGCTTGCGCCAGCACGACAAACTCACTGTGACTGACCTAACTAATAGCTAAGTCCAGCATGCATGGCATGTACCATGTGCTGTAGTTTTATTTTATAGTGCACCATTTACTGGTCCATAAAGACTAATCTCACTCAAAGTCTGCCAAGCCCCTTCCAGTCTTCCTGCCAAGCTCCAGAAGCACTGGTGTTCTTGGGCTTTGTGACTTTACTTTTCTCAGGATGTCACAGAAGAAACACATGGAGCATGTCAAAGATTCTTTCCCTTAACAAAATGCACATAAGTTTATTTTGTGCTCTCCAGGATACATATGAAGTCCCTGAACTTACACATTGGAAGCTAATCTATGAAGTAATGGTATTAAGACATGGCACCTTTGAGAGGGGGGATTAGATCATAAATACAAGTATCTCAAAAAATAAGTGGTTGTGATGTTTGATAAGAATTAATTTGACTGAATTAAAAATAATGAGAAAAAAAGGTCATGAGTTTAAAAATAAGCAATGATGAGTATTTGAGAGGGTTTGCAGGGCAGAAATGCTATAATTATATTCTAACCTCAAAAATATAAAAGGAAAAATAATAATAAATACATGAATTAGATCGATAGGCATTGAGAAAGTGTTACTTCTGAGTGTGTCTGTGAGAATGTTTCCAGAAAATACCTGACTCGGAGAAGCACACTTAATGGAGAGTATAGTCCCACCTGCTTGAGGGCCAGGTGAAACAAAAAAGGCAGAAGAAGGCAACTTCACCTTTCTCTTCCCACCTGTTCCTCTCCCCTCTTTCTCCTTCTCCTTCTTCAGTCCCTTTCCCCTCCTTCTTTTCTCCCCTCTTTCTCTCTCCTTGTCTCTTCCTCTTGCCTCTCCTCTCTCTTCCTCTTGCCTCTCCTCTTCCATCCTTTCCTTCCCAGAGCTGGCATACCCTTTCTCTTCTACCCGGGCATGAGAGCACGATGAGAACACTCTAGACTTTACAAGGCAGAAGTAGAACCATCTGATCACTGGATTTTCGGGTGAGAAACACCAACACCCATTTCCCTGTCTATGGGTTTGAGGACTTGAACTGAACCACGTGGCACCCTTGAGTCTCCACTTTATGAATGGCAAATGGCTTGTTGTAGGATTTCTCAGGCTCCACAATCATATGAGCAAATTCCCCTAAGAGAATACATATCATCTCTCTTCCTTACCCCTCTTCCCTCCTTCCCTGTTCTTCCCTACCATACATTGAAGTAGTCTGACTGGTTCATTATCCTTACAAAGGCCACCTGGGGATCTCTCCGTCCAGTTTTTTCTTCTACCACAGAAAAACAGAGCAATAAATCCTCATCTATAAAGCAGGCAGTCTTCACCTGACCTATGTCTGGTAGGATTTTCTTTGTCCTCTAGTGTGCAACAATACTGTGTTTATTGCAAAAACATTCTCATGACATGTGTGTCCTTTACTCATTCATGCATAAGAAATGAGACTGTCAAGGAAGTTGTCCTCTTGAATTTGAAGTCTGAATACATTTTATATCATGACTCACCATGAGGTATTTGTTTCATGTAAAAATACAAAGGTTGAATGAAAATAATAGTTTTAAGAATCCTTTTATAATTAGTCACTAACTCTGGAAATCTATTGGGAGATAACTCAATAGAATTATATATATACATATATACATATTAAAATTATATATAATTTTATATAATATATAAATATGTACTTACACATAATATATAATGTGTATTAAATGTGTGTGTATATAGTTATATATTACATGTATATATAATTATATATAACTAATAATATACTACATATACATAATGTGTGTGTATATATGTATATTTATAACTCTGTGAGTGTGTGTGTGTTATCTGTAGACGCAAACATATTATTTTAAAATTCATTATCAGAATTGAGGTCAATCTGGGATTTGGGGGTTTTTCTAAGTCTAAAATGTTTTATAACTAAAAAGGAAATTAAAAAAGGAATTAAATCCTTACTTAAAACTATTCAGAAAGTCTTGGCCTGGGAGAAATTGATCATTTGGGTCAAATGCAGGACACATCCAGGTAAAGCTTAGCAATGACAGGCATGTGTCCAAAGAGAAGATAAAATCACTGGGATAAGCAACATGAGCTCTCAAATTCCTGAAGCTCAGGTCTTTGCGATAATGACAAGGAGATGCAGAAAGTGGTCCCTGAGAGGATGAGGGCCTAAGCAAAGCTGATAATAATCTTTAGAGATAAAAATAAGGTGTGGGGCTTCAGAGTCAGACAAGGCAAGATGAGCTCATACATAGGAAAAATGAAGAGAATCTGTAACTGAGACTCTCCTACCTGGGGACAGTGATGGGATGGGCAGAAGAAGAAAAACACAGTCTGGTGTCACAATCCCTCCAAGTGTAAAACTTTGTCATGCAGAATTACTAGATACTAATGGAAATAGCAATGGTAAAGGAGCAAGGCACAATGAAACCTTGGCCTTGAAACTTACAAATAGAATTAGAGCTTGTTATTGTGGGAAAGGAAGAGTCAGATGGAAAATCCAGAGAGTGAAAACTTGTTTACTTGATCCCAACATTTCAGAAATGTTACAGTTTATAAGCTCCATGAAGCCTCAAATATTTTACTATGACTATGGAAATTATTAAGGAACATTATTTCTCCTTTTACCTAAAAGGCTCAGTAAAAATATATGAACTATCTTGATCAGAAACAAAAAAGAAATGAGACAAAATAAACCTAAATCATAAGGAATAACCAAACAAAGTTTTAAAAAATAGATAAAACAGAAAAGACAAAATATTAATGAAAACCTTCAAAGTTAATTCTTTGGGAAAATAAAAATTCCAAACCTTTAGCTACACGAACCAAGAAAAACAAAAACAAAACAAACAACAACAAAACCCAAAGATTCACAAGATAAAATTGCAGAACACATTTCTACTAAGATTAGAAGCAGAGAAGTTTATGATACAGTAGTACAAGCATCTTTGTGGGGACAAATCCATAGGCCATGAGCAGGTACCTAAGAATTAACAATTGAATGTGTCTGAATGAGGCAAAACAAACTTCAACAATACACAAAGAAGTATGTTGAACAGTACTTTTTAAAGTAGTCACAATTTAATCTCAGGACCAGATAATTCCAGTAGTAAAGTATAATGAATGCTGGAAGACTAGCATCAATCCTTCACTGTCTATTTCAATCAAAGAAGAGACAACTACAACTCTGAGTTAAATTCCTAAGAATCATAACAGCCTGATAAAGAAACTAAAAACATGAAAAGGAAAGAAAACTCTGCAATTTATTAGAACTACAGACACATGAATTATTATAAAATACACATTCTCATGGACCAAGTAAACTCAGTGTGAACTGAAAATATCATACATCAAAATTGCTTTTACTGCCAGCTGTATTTATGCATTTCTGTAATTACAGCATTTCAGAGGCAAAGGCAAGAAAAGCATGAGTTCAAGACCAGCCTGGACCATTCTTCAGGTTCCAGGCTATTATAAGGAGATCCTGCTCCAGGGGTGTAAAAGGGGGAATATTTCTACTTTTCAGTTGCTCAGTGAATGG